CTCTCTCTCTCTCTCTCTCTGTGTGTGTGTGTGTGTGTGTGTCTCATGAATAAATAAAATCTTAAATAAAAAAAAGGACTGTATTTGCTTATTTCACAGAGAGAGAGAGAAGAGAGAGAAAGAATGCATGTGAGCATGAGGGGGTTGGGCAGAGGGAGCAGCAGATTCTCCACTGAGCAAGGAGCCTGATGCAGGGCTTCATCTCAAGACCCTGGGATCATGATCTGAGCTAAAGGCAGACGCTTAACCAACTGAGCCACCCAGGCACCCTAGGACAGTCTATTATTAATAGTATGACAGGAGAAAGTCACGTATTTATTAAACAGTATATCTTTTTAATGTAAATCCTACCTATTTTGTATCAGGCAGGTGATCAGAATTAACCTTCCCACAAGGGTTTACAATCTACTTGAAAATACTTATTTCCGCCTCAGGATAACAGACTTGCAGGCATAGAAAAAGTAATTTCAGGTAGTCGGAGAAGCTAATGTAATGGAGAGGCAGTAGTAACGTGCTAAAGATGTCATCTTAGACTCATAGTTATTTAAATGGACCATGTAAGAAAAATCAAAGTAACAATGACTTCTTTAAATTTCAAAGATTTGGGATCCCTGGGTGGTGCAGCAGTTTGGCGCCTGCCTTTGGCCCAGGGCCTGATCCTGGAGATCCGGGATCGAATCCCACGCCGGGCTCCCTGCATGGAGCCTGCTTCTCCCTCTGCCTGTGTCTCTGCCTGTGTCTCTGCCTCTCTCTGCCTCTCTCTCTCTCTCTCTCTCTATCATAAATAAATAAAAATTAAAAAAAATTTTTTTCAAAGATTTATCCAACTTCAAGCTAAATACTACGCTCTCCTGAACTACAGATTCTCCAACTATAAAACAAAATAATCTGCAACATGGGGCGCCTGGGTGGCCTGCCTTCAGCGCAGGTCGTAGTTCTAGGGTCCTGGGATCCAGCCCTGCCTCAGGCTCCCTGCTCACTGGGGAGCTTCCTTCTCCCTCTCCCCCACCCCCCTCCTGGTATTCTCTCTCTCCCTCACTCTCTCTAAAATGAATAAAATCTAAAATAATAATAATAATAATTATTATCTGCAACTTGATATATACTTTCAGTACTTTTTATGAAAGAAACAGTTAAAACCTGAAATGTTCGTTAATTCTGCAATTAAATATAAACTGACTTTCAAATATGACATAAGAGGTGAATGCGTGTTACTGAAAATCAGGCTTTTGACTTTAAATCAACTGTCCTCTTTCCTCTTTCAAGAGGAAAAGAACACATCACTATCACCTAAGTAGCTTTTCCAAACTACACTATCATTCCAGTCTCCAATTCCGGTACAATCTCTTGCATGTGGACAGGTAAACAGGAAGAAGGGAGTGGTCAGGGATAAAAGTGTAATAATAAAATAACTATTTCCCTCCAAACCACCACATTGAAGAACCACTAGGCTAGGGGCACCTGGTTGGCTCAGTTGGTGAAGCACAGGACTCTTGATCTTCGTATGTTTTATAAATTCGAGCCTCGGGTAGGGTGTAGCGATTACCTAAAAATAAGTTCTGTAAAAGAAAAAGGACCACACGTACAAATACATATACTTATAAATTTTCTTTTTTTATTTTATTTTATTTATTTGAGACAGAGAGAGAAGGAGCACACTAGCACACAAGCCAGGGGAGGAGCAAAGGGACTCAGACTCTGCTAGGCAGGGCTCCAGAAATGGGCCTTGCCTGGATCCCAGGACCCTGAGATCACGGCCTGAGCAGAAGGCAGATGCTTAAGCGACTGGACCACCAAGTCACCCCAAATTTTCTAATCCATACAAATAAAGCACAAAATTGAGAACTGGGAGATCTGAGTTCTTTTTGCCACTTAGCTGTCCAATGTGAAACAAAGTTACTTCTTTGTGTCTCAATGGGAATACAATCTATTATATCAAAACTAGAAGCTATCTATAATTTCACAGAATTGTTCCAAGGATAAAATAAAATGTGAAGTATAAATATAAGTTTAAAATATGATGAATAGGGATCCCTGGGTGGCGCAGCGGTTTGGCGCCTGTCTTTGGCCCAGGGCGTGATCCTGGAGACCTGGGATCGCATCCCAGGTCGGGCTCCCGGTGCATGGAGCCTGCTTCTCCCTCAGCCTGTGTCTCTGCCTCTCTCTCTCTCTCTCTCTCTCTCTCTCTCTCTGTCTGTCTGTGTGTGTGTGTGTGTGACTATCATAAATAAATAAAAATCTAAAAAATAAAATAAAATAAAATATGATGAATAAGAAATTATCACTATTATTCAAACTTTAGCTTCACTTGGATGTAAAAGCACAGAGTAATTTGGGTTGGTTCACAGTTTGACCTTGAACATAACAATACCAGACCAACCACCCAGAGCCAATTAGAAATGAAAAAGATTTCCTTGGGGCAGCCCTGGTGGCTCAGCGGTTTAGGGCTGCCTTCTGCCCAGGGCCTGATCCTGGAGACCCGGGATCTAGTCCCACATCAGGCTCCCTGCATGGAGCCTGCTTCTCCCTCTGCCTGTGTCTCTGCCTCTCTCTCTCTGTCTCTCTCTCTCTCTCTCTCATGAATAAATAAATAAATAAAAATCTAAAAAAAAAAAAAAAAAAGTCCTATTCAAAAAAAAAAAAAAAGGAAAAAGATTTCCTTGGACCTTGTTTAATCCCTATCTTCTACCCCAGAAGCTTGGCCAAATCAAATCTAGCTTGAGAATTGGGAAAATAGATTTCCATTAATGAATTCTTCTAAATATTCAATCTCACCAGAAAAAGAAATAATGGACTAATGAGATTTTTAGAAAGTGAAACATTCACAATTTTTAACAGAAGACTTTCACTTGGAACTTCCAGGTTAGGACTTGGGAGAGTAGACTGAAATAGTCAAAAATTAGGTGACAAAAATTTTAATGATCTTACCACCACCACCACACCCTCCTTGCAAAAAACAAAAACAAACAACAACAACAAAAACCAGTGCCAACTGCTTATATTATCCTATGGCTCTTTAATTCCCTACAAAATAGTCAATATGCAACTCACAGTGCCTGGCAGACAGTGTGTGCCAAATAAATATCTGTTGAATAAATTACTGATTCTCTTATTTCTCACATCTTCACTATTTCAGTGCACCTATAGGAATGCTGGCATATTTGTTTTCTTTTAGCCCTCTAAAAATTAAAATGCGGGGATCCCTGGGTGGCTCAGTGGTTTAGCGCCTGCCTTTGGCCCAGGGCGCGATCCTGGGGACGCGGGATCGAGTCCCACGTCGGGCTCCCGCCTGGAGCCTGCTTCTCCATCTGCCTGTCTCTGCCTCTCTCTATGTCTATCATGAATAAATAAATAAATAAAATCTTTTAAAAATAAAATAAATAAACTAATTAGTTAATTCGAATGCAAATGGTGGTTAAAAAGACAAATCCAGGCAGCCCGGGTGGCTCAGCGGTTTAGCGCCGCCTTCAGCCCAGGGTGTGATGGGGATCCTGGGATGGAGTCACCACATCAGGCTCCCTGCAGGGAGCCTGCTTCTCACTCTGCCTGTGCCTCTGCCTCTCTCTGGGTCTCTCATGAATAAATAAATCTAAAAAAAAAAAAAAAAAAAAAAAGAAAGAAGAAGAAAAAGAAAGAGAAAGAGAGAAGAGAAATTTTGAAAATCCTCATTTTGTTTCATCAGCTTCTACTTCATCATATGGCACCCTTCTTATGGAGTATGAGCACAAACACCTCTTAGACCCACCCATAAGCTAGTTAAATTATTTATAAATAACAATTATAGCCAGGTTTCAATGAGAAACGAATTAATTGTCTCAATCCAGAGTAAGACCAAAGCAGAAATAGGAGTGAAGATAATTTTACTGCAAGACCTAGAAACTCTAATCAATTATCTTTCCTACAGTTCCATCGTGTAGCCCAATCTCACCTAATGATGCCAACTCACATCATCTTCAACCCTGAGGTAAATCAACTTCCCCTACAATGACAGCGCAGGCCAACTTCCTACTCATGTTCTAAGTCTATCAACAATCTCCTCCAAAAGAAAAGTGTAAAATCCTACCCGTTCTCACTTAACTAGAAGCAATTCCTTTCTCCTACTCCTACTGTTTGGATTGGGTTCTGGACACAAAACCCCAAGGAGAAATCCCAAAACACTTCCAGCAAGACAATCCACTCCATCTCTCACTTGATACAGACAGCCCAACTCTGCCAGACATCCTAACGGTATGCTACTGTGTGTCGTTCAGGATGCCAACTATGATGACAAGGTGTCTACCTACCTGGCGATCCTCACATCAGAAGTTCCAGGGCACTGTAACCTGTCACACAAATGTAGTACAGCTGCATCCGACACATGGACGCTGTTGAATAAATGTGGTTCCCTCGCGTCCAAGGCATTTAGTGACAAGCGGAATTTTTTTGTGAGCAGATTTTTATGACTACAGTGGCCTACCCTTTGAAGTGGGAGGATATTTATACACACACACACACACACACACACGAGGGATACTGACATGAAATACTACTTCTCCTTAAAATACCCATACCCACGTCTGGAGCACCACCTACCCTACTTTCAATAAGCAAATTTGACCAACTCCGTCCCTCAGCCTCCCAGGAAGCTTAATCCTCTCCTTTTACAAGTCCAACAAGAAATCCGGACCGACAGGGTGTCGGATTCACCAGAAAGCAGAAAATTCACCAGGGGGGAAAAAAAAAAAAAAAAAAAAAAAAAAGGGCAAGGCCAGGCCCAACTCTCCCCGTTTACGCACCACCGCTCACCCGACCTTCCTTCTCGGCCCCTTCCTTGGACTCCCCTCGCTTCCTCCCCAGCAGCCGGGGCCTCCGCAGTCACCCCCACGTCCTCCACCGGCCTGAGGGTCTGCAGACGCCGCCCCGGCACCACCTAGACCACCCTCCCGCCGCACCCGCCAGCCCACACGCGGCAAAGTCCTCGTTCCGCGACGGGCAGGGCGATGCTCTCTCTCCCAACTCACCACACGAAGTCGTTGCTTTTGTCCTCGTAGGAGTTGATGAGCCCGTTGCACAGGGGGGCGAGCAGAGGTCTCTTCCGGCTGCCGCTGCCGAGGCCGGAGCTGCTCCCTCCCACGCCGGCGCTGGGCCTGGCCGCGCAGCTGAGCCGAGACTGGCCCGCGGACACCGCCCCGCCGCCGCTGCCCGACACGGCGGCCGCCACCAGCACAGGCCGCGCCGCCGGGCCCCCGAGGCCGCCCGGCCCCGCGGCCTGGGCCGCCCCGCCGGACGCCGCCGCCGCCGCCGCCGCCGCCGCCGCCGAAGGGGGCGACGGGGAGGAGGACAAGGACGAGGAGGCGGAAGTCACCGAGGAGGCCGCCGAGGAGCCGGGGCTGGTCCCGGCGGAGCCCGACCCGGCCTGGCGGCTCCCAGACATCGTGCCTCCCCCACCTCCGGCCGGGCGCTCGGAGAGGGACCGCGACCCGCCGCCGCCGCCTCCCTCCCCTCCACCTCCCCGCAACCTCAGTGCATCCTGAGGCCGCGCGCCGCGCCGGGAGGTGGGGCTGAGGAACAATAAAGTTGATCTTTTTTTTTTCTTTTTTCTTTTTTCTTTTTTCGTTTTTTTTTTTTTTTTTTTTTTTTTTTGTTTAAGGCGAGCACACAGCCGCGTCCGACGGGAGGAGGGGGCGGAGGAAACTGAAACAGCGGAGGAGGAACCACTACCGCCGCCGAGGCCGCCACCGCCGCGAGCCCCGCCGCAGCCAACCGGGGCGCGCCGAGGGCCGGCCGTGCGCGCGCGCGAGCGGCGGAAGGGGCGGGAGCGGCGGCGGAGACAACCTCGAGGGCGGCTGGGACGCGCGCGGCGCGCCCCCGGCGGCGGCCTAGCAACGCGGGCCGCGCTCGTCCGCAGCCGAGCGGCGGGGGACGCGCGGGGGGAAGGGGGGGAGGGGGAGGGGGAGGGGGCAGGGGAGGGGGAGGGGTGGGGCTGTCCCGAAGGGTGAAAGGGCTGCGGAGAGGGGAAGGAATGATACGGTGGCGCCCGCGCTTGGGAGCTGGCGGGGCAGGGAGCGCGCCTGGAGCGACTGCGCACGCGCTCTGGGCGCCGACCCTGGCGGCGGCCCGGGTCGCGGCCCCCGTCTCGGAGCGGCGCTGGCGCGGACCGGCCGCACCACTGCGTGGCGGCCACCGCCTTCCCGAAGGCCGAGAGGGAGCTGCCTCCGGGCGGGCGGCGGGAGCCCGCGGCGAGGGCATGGCAGGCGCTTCCGAGTCGCCTTCTGAAGCCTCCGCGGACGCTACGGAGAAGACCCGGGGCTCTGAGCGGCTGAGAAGAGCCCCGCGTTGACCCTCAACGAGTCTGGGCTCTGCAGCCAAACCGTTCATTCCACGCGGTTGTGAGGAGTCCATTAAGATGAAGTCAGTCGCCGGTGCTTTGTAGATCGCAAACATCGTAGCAAGTGTTATCGATTATTATTGGTCCGACCGTGCTGCCTTGTATCTTGAAACGTGAATTTACCAAATCAAGCATGACGATGACGAGAAAACCAATTATATCTGATCTGACCACGGCTCAGCCAGAATCTCGGTTTAATGTGGATCTGATATCCTCTACCACAACACAGGGAAACCTGGCGCTTAATACCACGAAAAAAAAAAAAGAAGAAGAAGAAGAAAGAAAAGAAATGTGTAATTTCTGGTAGCTTTTTGGGATACGGAAAATTGGATACAGGTTCTTCAATTGCCATTTTGAGACTCCCCAAGATTCTGGGTGACGTAAATTAGAAACAACTGGGTTGTTTTCGGTATTCTTTTCCAATTCTTGTCCTGTGGTTCTTGGAAAGATCCCAGATTTATTTTTCTTTAAAGATTTTATTTATTTATTCATGACAGACACAGAGCGAGAGAGAGAAATAGGCAGAGACACGGGCAGAGGGAGAAGCAAGCTCCATGCAGGGAGCCCAACGTGGGTCTCCATCCAGGGTCTCCAGGGTCACAACCTGGGCCGAAGGCGGTGCTAAACCGCTGAGCCACCAGGGCTGCCCAAGATCCCAGATTTAATTCTGTCCTTTGAAGACCTTTCCCTAGGAACCTTTATCCATGCTGAATGAACTGAACCAGAGGGGCCCTGATGAAAGCCCAACAAAAAGACCTAGCCATTCATCTGAGCAGTGTTCCATCAAAAGGCTGCCATCCCCACATCAGCCTTTGCTGCTTACCTTCCCACCTTCCTACTTTTTGCTCAGGATAATGATAAATGAGCTTATCAGATTTCCAAGAACCACCCCACCCTCCTTGTGTGAGTATTGCATTATCCAACCCCTTATTAACTTCGCTTTCAATACCCAACTGAAATGTGAAGCCTTTTTTTTTTTTTTAAGACTTTTTTAAGTGTTTTTATTCATGAGAGACACACAGAGAGAGGCAGAGACATAGGCAGGCCCCATGCTGGAAGCTGGATGTGGGACTCCAGGTTCCTGCCCTGAGCCAAAGGCAGATGCTCAACTGCTGAGCCACCTAGGCATCCCTGAAATGTGAAGCCTTACTGACTCTTCAGCAGAGATAGTTACACCCTACTTTGTGCGCCTAGAATATTTTGTTTGCTCTTATAACATTTTTATTTTAGTGGTTCGTATATGATTCTCCTCTATTAGCCAATTAGCTTCAGCCTTGTATTCCCCAGCATGTAACATACCTGGTCTATAATAGGATCTTATTACATATTTCTTTTTTAAAAGATTTATTTATTTATTTATTTATTCATTCATTCATGCATGCATGCATGCATGCATGAGACAGAGAGGCAGAGACAGAGGGAGAAGCAGGCTTCCTACAGATGCAGGAATGGATCCCAGGACTCTGGAATCACAACCTGAGCAGAAGGCAGATGTGTAATGGACTGAGCCACCCAGGCACCCAAAATATTTCTTGACTAACAAATAAGTTGGTGAATAACATGAATAAATAGAGCATTTAATAAAACATATGAAATAAAACATGAATGAATAAAGTAATTGGTCTCATTTTTAGTTGAATTATTTACTTAAAGCCCATTTTTACAACTAAAGTGTAAGCTCCATTAAAGACAGGACCAAAAAAAAAAAAGACAGGACCATATTGGTTCTTATTGGCCATTCAATAATTAATTGATGAAGGAATGCATTAAAAACTAAATGTAAAGAATGTGATGAATGTATATCAAACAGTACACTTAGGCCTGGACTAGGCAGGGAAGAGATAAAGAAGTACAAAAAACATTGTTCCTATATTCAAGAAGCTTAAAGAATAATTGGAGAATTAGAAAAATACATAAAAGATAAGTAATGTTACCAAAGAGTACATGCTATGTGCTTAATGAGTAAAGCAGAGAAACATCATAGGAGCAGAAAGAAGAGCAAGTGCTAAGGGCCAGCCATGTTTTAGGTTGGAGGATGAGCCTTAAAAGAAAAATATGGGGCAGCCTGGGTGGCTCAGCGGTTTAGAATCTGCCTTCAGCCCAGGGCGTGATCCTGGAGACCTGGATCCAGTCCCAGGTCGGGCTCCCTGCTTGGAGCCTGCTTCTCTCTCTGCCTGTGGCTCTGTGTCTCTGCCTCTCTCTCTCTATGTCTCTCATGAATAAATAAATAAAATCTTTAAAAAAAAAAAAAAGAAAGAAAGAAAAGAAAAGTGTGGCTTCGTCAAATAGAAAGCGCAATCAGGGGATCCCTGGGTGGCGCAGCGGTTTAGCGCCTGCCTTTGGCCCAGGGCGCGATCCTGGAGACCCGGAATCGAGTCCCACATCGGGCTCCCTGCATGGAGCTTGCTTCTCCCTCTGCCTATGTCTCTGCTTCTCTCTCTCCCCCTCTGTGTGACTATCATGAATAAATAAATAAAATATTTTAAAAAAATAAAGTGCAATTAAAGTCATGAGCCCAGAAAATAAATAAGGAAAAACACCTAGGGACGCCTGGGTGGCTCAGCGGTTTGGTGCCTGCCTTTGGCCCAGGGCGTGATCCTAGGATCAATGCCCACATCAGGCTCCCTGCGAGGAGCCTGCTTTTCCCTCTGCCTATGTCTCTGCCTCTTTCTCTGTGTCTCTCATGAATAAATACATAAATAAAAAATATTTTTTTAACAAATACCTATATCAAATTCAAATATCTATTTTACAGGGAGGAAAGTTAATTCAGCAAAAACTCATCTGGGGACCAGATTGTAAAAAGCCTTGAATCCACCTACAGGCAGTTGGAAACAAAGCATTGCAAGGGGGTAAAATATATTCAAAGTGTTTTGAAGATTAAGTTTTCAGCAAACTAATCTTTCAGAAGAGGTGAGAGATTTGGAGCAAAGAAACTAATTAGGAAAAAGTGGTGGCAGTCCAAACATAAGTGATATTCTAGATTAGGGTGCTGACAAAGAAAGTAGAGTAGTATTCTGAGAAAAACACAAAAGAATCTATAGGATTAAGTTATTCTCTGTAAAAGAATCTTTACCATCCCCGAGGGCATGATGCAATGTCTGTGTTATTCATTACTGTCTTTCCCAGGACTTAGCACGAAGGCCAATAAATTGATGAAGTAAAAAATCATGGAATCCAGGGGTACCAGGCTGCCTCAGACAGAAGTGTTTGACTATTGACTGCGGGATCATGAGTTTGAGACCCATGTTAGTTACAAGGATTACTTAAATAAAACTATTTTTTAAGTGATAGAATAAAGGGATACCTGGGTGGCTCAGTGGTTGAGCATCTGCCTTTGGCTCAGGGCATGGTCCTGGAGTCCTGGGATCGAGTCCCACATAGGGCTTCCCTCGGGGAGCCTACTTCTCCCTCTGCCTATGTCTTTGCCTCTCTTTCTGTGTCTCTCATGAATAAATAAATAAAATCTTTTTTTAAAAAAAATGATGGAATACAGAGAAGAATGACTAAAAGATGAGTCCAGGGATGATAGCATGATAACAGAATGGGAGATGTCCAGTGGATGCTTTAGTTTGGGATGTATTGAGTAAGTAGATGAAAAATACATTCAACTAAGCAAATCTAGCAGTGACAAAAAATTCAGGTTGAGGCACAGGTGAAAGTCCAGTACATGAAAAGTAAAACTACAAGTTCCTGAGATTCTAGGTCTAGGGTAGCGCCTGTGGAATATGCATTCTTAGCAGCACCCAAGTGAACCTAACTCTTTGAGAAACACTGTGATCATTAAGTAGGGAATGTCCAAGAAATATATTTAAAAAAGTCTCTTCCTTCCAGGTAGCTTACTGGGGGGACAAAAGTAGTATGACCTTAGCTGAGAAGTCTCCTAGGAAAAAATCATCAGTGCTTTGTATTACCTCTTTGGAACCTGGCTTCAGTAAAATCTAAATTTAAAAAAGGAAGCTGAGGAGATGGGAGATGTGATGTAATGGAATTTCCCTTTTATATCAGTTAAATCTATAAAGACTATTTTCAAAGTGCACGGTCCTTATTCGTTTCTAGGCAGGATGTTCTGGAAAAGCAGAAGAGAAAAGAGGAAGCATGGCAAAACACACACAACACACACATACTGAGGAAGTCAGACAACTCAGGAAAAGAAGCAAATAGGAGAAGATAAGAAAACGTTATGAAAAATGAAACAATGTAGAATAAAAACTAAGCCTTACTAATTGAAAAAATTCCATCACATTGTTAAATATATTAATCACATAAATGACAAAAATGACAAGACAAAAATCCAAAGTCTTTTATGAAAATATTGTTAATGAAGTAAGATGCAATGGA